CTTACTAGTAGTAACAAGAAGCTATTAGGAACAAGTGCCACGCTACTGGTGTTTGTTTTTAATAGGTGTCACTGCAGGAGGTCGATGGGTGATCCCTAGTCTTTGACGCATGTTGCTGGAGGTCAGGCCTGGCGGGGGAACAACGGCAAACGGAAAGGAGCTAGAACTATTGACGGAGGTTGGTGCTGTTTTGGTGGGCTGTTGTTGTGTTCCACAGACTGTTCGGCACGATCTCCATTTTTCGTTCCGAAGATGACGCCTGTCCTGTTCATTTTCGTCAGAGTGGTTTTTGTGGTGTCGGGCACACACAGTTCGCAACCCCCTACAGACTACAGGGGGCCATTTGCCTTTGACTGTTTACCGATAACAGCTCAGAATCCTGGCCGGCCTGTCAGTCTCTAAAGCTGTTGAACGACGAGCTGTTGGATCCAGACCGATGTAATTGGAGGCCCTCGCTATTAATCGCTATTAGGTCGCTTTTGACCTTCGACCACTTCGTTCCACTTCCTTCGACTTTGACCGACGCAGGGGGCATCCGCAGTTCATGGTTCAGCCTTTTTCGCCGTGGGACCAAGATCGCCGAGGACATGGCTGAACCTTTTTCACAGCAGGTCTGTTGGTCACTGCCCTCTGTCGAACTGGATGCCATTTTTCCTCAGACTCTCCTGACTGCCCATCTGTCCTGACTGCCCATCATTGTCATTTATTATCTAGATATATATACAGTATCCATATATCATATATATGGCACTTTATTTGGTGTGAGTATTTTTGGCACATAGATCAATCATGATCAAACCTTTCCTGCGAATCGTGAACTGTCCTCTACTGATCACATAGGGGCCTTTGGTGGTCTGTATTTGTTGCTGGGAGGTTGCAGTCTTAGCAATGGTATGGATTCCAGTTTGCCATTGACTTGCCGAGGGTCTCAGTTTGTTGCTGCGGCCGGATTTCACCGTCTCACAGGAGCCCTCCATTGACGGAGATACGCTGGAGTCGACCACGGTGGTGTCCACCTTCAGCCACACTGAGGCGCGAGCGAACTCTTCTGACGCTTCAAACTCCTCATTCAGAGAATTAATCGTTTTTTTTATTGTTGAAACATGTTGAAACAAGGGAGGGTCTGGCGTATGTTTAAACAACAAAGCAGTGTAGAGTCTTGGGCAGAGATTTAGTTTGTTTGTGGGTACCCAGCCAGAAGGTACAAAGTTTCCAGACTCTTCCCCTTCCTATAGATTTGCCTTCCAACCATCTCGGACATACTTCCAGTTATAGTTATATAAGTTTATATACTGTCTACTGCCACTAGAACATGTTAAACCACAATATGACGTCACAGATATAGACCTCTAAACTGTCCCTTGTGGCATGTGAATATGAATGTTGTGTTCTGAGAGTACTTTTGTTGCAAAAAGAGTTGCTGGTCGCGACAACCCAGGAGTGCACAGGCACCTGCAGCTCACCAATTGTGGAAAATACGGATCCGATGCCTGTGTGGTTTAGTGTTTGGGAATCGGGAGATCTTCGGAGATGCTGAGAGAAAACAAGCATGTCAGCACCTCGGAACTTGTTCAGCATCATAAAAGCTCCCCAACACATCCGAATAGATCAAATACTACATGATAGCTACTCCATGAAATCAGAAGCACGAGTCCGACAGGAGTCGTTCCACGATGACAAGAGTGAGATTACAAAGCGTCCTAGTCTCAAGGCGGGAGGACGGAACCGGTCCGGAGGGTGAGAGGAACCGGCGGAACGGGCGGAACGGGGACGTCCTTTGGATCGAGCATAGCTCATGTTCCCCACAACCACCATTCACACAGGTCGGCGGTCGGTGTATGGAGAACTGCTTTCATCAACCTGCTTTTGAGTATACAACCGAAGTTGAATCTCACGTGGATGAAGCTACTGCCCACTGTCCAGCAAGCAGGTGCGATGGAAAGGTTCACTGCGCCGGGTGTGAAGCAAGTCTATGCTTGGAGCTTGGATGGTAGCATTCTGAGAAATCCAACAAGCTTTGTCTTGGTTAGCCGGTTGAAGTGTGTCCTGCCACTCCGAGCATTTGTCGGCCCCATTGAATGTCAGGAGGAAAGATGGGTGAGCGGGTCTACGCCGGATCGACCTTTGGTTGATAAATTTGATACGTATGGTAGAAGGAGTTGAGGTCCTTCAACTGATGGGTATCCGGAATCATGAACAGGTACTAAACTGATGGGTATCCATGGGCCATCCGTAATATGATGTTTTGTTTTATTTTGGAACAGAACAGTGACGAAACAAAACATTGCCACAATCTGCGAATGTTCTCAAAATGCCCACGGTTCAAACGGTTCAGTGAGTGAGGTGGCTCTGGGATGAAATGGTCGAGTTGCACCGGAAGCGGGTATGCTGCGGAGTTGGGGTGTTCCACTGGTTAGGATCCACTGGAATCCACTGGGTGGATCATGGTGGCTCTTAAAGTCCAAGTGTGGTTTTGATGGGATGGGGCCGATGGGGTTCAAAGCAACCAGATGGGCTTGCACATCCTTTGGTTCCACAGAGGTCGTGGGGTGGTTCCTCCAGTTTCAACTCCTTGCCACCCGGATCCGGCCACGCTGGGCGCACGCAGACCTTGCGCGCGTGGAGCTGAAGGGCGATCCAGGCAGGACATGGCGATCGGAGGTTTCGAAAGGGTTTCAGGATGAGAAGGAGCTCTATGGATGAGTCATGATGAGTCATGATTTTGGGGTTCATCTTTGGAATCTGGAAGGTTTTGCTAACTTCCCTAGTTCCATCAGTGATGTTTGTTTTGGCGATTGAATTTTACGCGCAAGTTCGTAAAGCGACTGCAGATCGACGAACGGAATCAGGTCCGCTGGAGATCCTGCCTTGGTCCTATATGTTGTTTTTGTGCGTTTGGATGCCGTTTCATTTTTGGTTTCTCACCTCGCCACCTCAAAATTATGAAAGCCAGCCGACAAGCTAGGCTTTAAGCGAACGAAGTGAGAAGGCTGATATAGAATGGATTGCTCAAGTTCCTGGAAACTCGAAATCTGACTCGGGCGACCAAAAGGGTTCCACTGGCTTTTGTTTCCCCCTTCTCATTTGCAAGTTTCCACATGTACAGAAACGACACCATAAAAAGGGTATACAAGGTATTTTTTCTGAAAGGGGTATATTTTTTGCCGTTTCGAAGATCCAGGTAAACACGTGGCTGGCAACTCAGCCCCAGTTCCTTTGTTTTCCGGTAGATTCAACATGTGCATACATATACAATCATATACATACAATTACATATACTTGATATTATATATAATCGTCTACAGTATGTAATTGATTAATATATGCATATAATTGAAGCTATACAATTACAATCACATACAATTACACGTATATACATATGTGTATATATATACACTTCCTCAAAGTCTCAGTGTCCGGCATTCCCCCGAGATTCTTCTGGGATCCGTTGTGCCGCGCTGTTCCAAAAGGGTCCGACCGGGCCCACCGCGTGGAAGCAGCAGAGTGAAGCTGAAGACAACTTTCCTTTGGCCCTTTGCCCCGAACATGCTTAGCTGCCACCTGCGATGGATTCCCTTTTTGGGAGGCTCGGATGTTTGGGGCACCGGCATGGAAAGAGCTTTAGCATTCGACACTGACGAAAGAGCTTTAAGCCCCAACCCCATGGGCCTCAGACGCGGGTGGAACTTCAGCTGAACTCCTGGTGAGGCGGAACACCTGGCGGCAGATTTGCCCGAAGACGTGAATTCGGCCCGGCCCCCACGAGTGGAAATCGCGTCACAGGAGGGATTATAGTTGGTTTGTGTGTGTGTGTGTTTTTGTAACTATAGGAAGACCTCCCAACCCGAGGGGGTTAGTTTAGTATCGTTTATATATATATATGTATATATAGTAGTGTTCAGTATCAATTCGTTTGTTTGTCTTGTCTTTGGGGGCTGTTTTTGGGATAAATCCAGACATATGCAAACAATTTGATTGGGTATGCCGAAGTATGATGAAGTATGGAACATACGACTTGACACCACAAGGGACCATACGTGCGCGACAAGTACAAAAGTACCTGGAACCTATGAGACAGGCAAGCGCCTCCTTGCAAGTTCTGACAGCCATTCGCAGTCGAACAGATGCAGATTTCGTTGTTGACGGGTGCAGTCCTGCAGTCCTGTGACGGGGGTGATGGGTTTGAAGGTGGGGCCAGGTTTGTCCAAGAACTCTGATTCTATCGCGGACCCCAGTTGCCTGAAAGGATCCATTCAGTTTTAAGGTGTTTACCGGTGCAGCACGGTGACTGGATCCATTCAGTGTATCTTCCAGTCTTCAGTTCGTAGGTAAGCTGGCCCCAGCTTGATTGAAACTCGATGAGCCCAAAGCTTTGTCTACGGCTCAGCTCGGTTTCGGCAGCTCGCAACGATTGCAAGTGCTGAGAGAGATGGAGAATGTAATGATATATTTGCATGAATCAACGCATGCGTGCAACCTTGAGAGTGAATGTTGGTGTACTGACACTCCTTTAGAGTCTTTAGAGATGCAGGATTGCTGGTTTTGTACCTCCATTTGGTATCATAGTTTAAATTCTCAGGTGAGGGGAGTCTTCTCCAACCATGGTATAGGGATGCGTGTTCTTTTGGGATGTTTTGATGTTTCTTCTTCATGGTTCCGAATGAGTCTTCGAACGCGAACGGGTGTAAGTGCTCGGAAACGAAGACCTTCACGGTCGGGGTTCGATTTAAAGCATTTTGCAGGCCCAACCGTTTCGTGTGGATGAGTCATGATGGACAAGTTCTCCTGGACCTCCAGACGCCCGACATAACATCCCGGCAATTTGTAGCCAATTCCAGTAGTGGTTACCAATGTCTGGGAATTAGCGGTGACTGGTTTGCGAAGCGCTTCAAACTGAAGAGCTTCACTTGTTTGATCGATATGTCATTCCTGTGTTCCCTGCACAAAGTACACTGACCTGTTGGCAGATTCAGCTCTGTGCCGACGTGCATAGATCTTTCATGAGTGTATACATCATTACATGTGTTATAATCGATAAATATATTACCCATATATGTGCGAAGTCTGTTAGCAGGATGGGGAGATCAACTGTAACACCCTGCCATTGCCTTTAAGCAATAGCTCTCCCAAGTGGCTTGGGCATTTGGATCTTCAGAAGTGCTGCGGGTAGCGAGCTGGTAGTTTTTGGAGATTAGTGCTTGGATGATCTCTGAGGTCTGTAAAGGTCAAGCAGAGCTAGTCCAAAACGCTCTTGAAGGACTCCAATATGTGACATGCAAAAGCTCTCTTTCCGGATTTGAGGGGTTGTTTTGCTTCCAGAAACCTCTGGAAAAAAGCGCTGTTGAGCTCCGGAGACCTGCCAGCCCCGCTAGCTGTGACGCAACAAGGTGCTTCCAGACAGGTGGGCAAGTAAGCTTGGTCATAAGAACCACCACGTGACAACCCTTCGACAAGCTCATCACTGTTTTTGACACATGAAGACCAAAACGCCCTTTCCAGACCTCGGATTTCATCAGTGTTTGCGTCAACACCCACGCCTGACTGGTGTGGTGTTCATTTCGGTTCTTGAGAGGACTGAAAGACAGGTCCTGAATGAAACAAACCATAAAGGCACCGTGCCAAGGGAAAGAGGACCAGGTAATCCGGGAATCGGGAATATGTCTTGATGGTCACCGGGCTTTTCATTGACGATGGTTGTTGGGACACTCAAGAACCGGATGAGGCAAGCCAGTGACAGCAGGCTGTAAGCCCGTGGCTGGTTGATTCGTCGGCGTCGGCCGTGGGTCGAAGGGAATTATACACCCCATGGGCAGCATCACCAGGTAGACTATTCCGTTCGGAGTTGAGCTGCATCGTTGGACTGAAAGGCACATTGCTGTGGGCCAAAACCCTTCAGGCTATAATCTGAATGCCAAAAAGCGACGGCTTCTCATTATCCTTGATGCTAAATGCTTCAGTGACATTGCCACGTTTTGACCCATTAGCACACACTTTTGCTATTTGTTGCTAGTTTACTCGGTTGACTTGCGTGCGGGTTTTCGGGCAGCTTGTCACCTGGCAGTTAATTCTCCTGTGCCTTGTGGGGTGTGGGCCGCACCCAGGTGTGCCCCCTGGTGGAACAGCTGCTCAAAGTTTTGGGATCTGAAAGCAGGGCAGTATATGGTTTTGTGTCTCAACTTGCTGCCAACGGTGTTTCCGAAAACCCATTGGCAAAAGCACATGTCGGTAAATGACGGATATGTTGTGTACGTATGGGTCCTGAAATAAGTAGTGTGTTTGGGCTTGTAGCGTCTTGTATGTGAAAACACATGGGCTGTTCAGAAAGCAATAAGTCTACACATGCACAGTACAAGTGCAAGTACATCATTGCAGGCAGTTTTCTATTTGCTGATTCACTTGCATCGGAACGATGAATCAGGCTTGCACAATTCTCAAGATTCTCTCAAAGCAATTTTTTGTTGCTATCCTTTTCTTTGCATCTGTGAAAGACAACACAGACCAGAACAGGAGCAACATCGTCTCGTCTTCTTCGCCACAGCGGTGATTGTGGTTCAGCCTACCCTCCGACCATTGAAGCAAAAGGTTCACCTGGTCCAACGTAGTCCAGACTTTTTAAAGTGTATACTGGCCGGTACAGGTCAGTGACCGCAAGCTGAGTAGACAGTCCAGTAGTAAAATGAGATTTATCATTAGAAACGATTCTTAGAGGGCTTGTCTCCATGAAATCAGTGCTGGAAATCCTTCTGGTGAACAAATGCCATGATCTTTCATGATGACAATGTCATGATATATCCCACCTAGCATCTACTGGAGGATCAAAATACGGTTTCCAGGTCAAAACAGGGAAGAATCTGGCCGATCCACCTCTCACCCGCAAAGAAATACACGCTCGGAGTCATCGAACTGTTGGACGCAAAGTTGGTGAACACTCGACAGGGCCGGTGGTCGAAGTCGCCAGGAGATGTGGCCCACACCCCAGGTGTTTCTGCTTTGCATTTTTCCCCCCGAAGCAGAAGAATGATGAATAGAAAGATGAACGCGGGCACTCGCTCGAGATGGAGAGTTTGAAGTGGCGGGGAGTTCGCATCAAAGGCTTTGTCATTGTCAACGAAACACATGCAGCGCTGCTTCCGTCCTCATTTGCGCCACAGGACCTTTAGAGTTTTGATCATCCTTGGCGTGTATCCGCCAGTTGTTCAGAGGTTGTCATCTAGCTGAGGGGTTTGATTGCCAATGTGATGGATATGATGATATATGATATGATTGTCAACAGAATTTGATTAGAGTGGATGTATTGCCAAGAGCGAGAGAGCATGCATGTAGATTGAAACCAGTAACCAGTCGCTTAGGCCACTTATATATGATGGCTCTACCTTTGGTCCACCTGTTGGCCTCAAAGCACCAGCACCCTCCCAATCCAAGACAAGAGGCCAGGGGTTTAAAGAGGTTTATAAAACTAGACATCCGCAAACTCTTACTGTAGTAGCCCGCCAAAGGTACAGAAAGCACCTGCTGGTTTGGCACAACAAAAACTACCCATTCTTTCCGAAAGTCGAATGGTATTCTGGTCTTCTAGACTCGCAAGTCCCTCGCAGGTTCGTCTCGTGGCCTCGCTTGGAAATCCATGGTCCAGCTCGGCGGTGTTTTAGATCCACCCAGCCAGGGAGTCCGTTGAAACAGCGCACCACGTGCCAAGATCTTCACCCGTGATGTGAAGGACACATGCACCATCATGCACAATGTGGCTCTCATGGAATCCCTCCTTTTGCAGCAGTTGAGAACTGAACGGATGGCAGATGGCAACTAACAGTGTTTACTGGTTGCTGTGTTTGGGGTCTGGGAAATTCCTGGATCAACGGTGCATACTGGTAGGACTTCATTAGCTTCATGGAATGAGGTCAAGTACAACGTTCTCACCTCTCAGGAGAAGAGAGACCACACAACCCGAACGAATCTGTCCAGTACGTCTGGAGGTTCTTATGTTTCGTGACAGATTGGCAACTTACAGTAAATTGCAGAGGTAAAATTCGACTCGAAGGGTTACAGCACAATTTTGACATTTAGACCATGCACTTGAGCTCCACAGTTGTTTGTGTCAAGTGTTTTAAGTTTTAATCAATATGCTTTACAAACTAAACCCACCCAATTCGGAGGTTTTGTTCGACCCATCGAACCTTGACATGGACCCAATAGGAGGGCCTTTTCTATCGCTGTTTGGCCTTCCTGCGTGGTTCTCGAGAAGCAGACTGTGACGCCCCAGCCCACATGGAACGGCTTTTGCTTTCTTCGTGACAAAAGTAGAATTAACAAGGGAGATGTCAGAGTGGGGATTCACCATGGGCCCTTCGTTCCATTCTTCACCCAACAAGTTGAATCGGGCCGTTGAGGCAGCCCGAGGATTCCTGACTATGAGCTGTTGGTTTCAACCAGCGTTACCAGGACCCTCATCCTCGGACCCGCCAGACCTAGTGTGCTACAGGGAGCCACTGGCCTGTGCACCGTGCACCGAGAATTGTATACACATTGCTGGTACACAAAGCATTCTGATTGTTTCGAGACAAGGTGGCGTCAAACTATTCGGGCTTGCTGCTTGGTAGTTGGAAACAGAGGGCAGTCAGAAGTTCTTGCTGCAGTCTCAAAGAGCCGACATTCCAGCCAGGATACAATGTTCAACATAGCCTTTGATGGTTTGGAATGGGTTGAGACTGGTAGCCTACACTACACTTGGCTTGCTTGCAGGAAATGGGGCTGACGGTGAAACTGCTTGAACAGTTTGGCTTTTGAGTGGCCGAGGTTTGCTGAGGACACGTCACATT